CATTTATTTATTTAGATTACTTTTAAATGAAGTTCAGAGAATTTAACCAGCACACAGGATTTTTTCTGCTCGTTGCTTTTCGTGGCTAAATTCCCAAAAGCTTTTTGGCTAGGACCTCGTATAAGTGACACTAGTGTGTCTTTAACTAATATGACGGAATTTTGTTTTGTTAATCTAGTGGCAACTACAAAATTAGTTTTAACCAATGTTAAACTTAATAGATTATTAATAACGTCTAACTGATGCCTGGTAATGTGCCCCAAGCCATAATCTAAATCACCACCACTTGTGGAGAGAACAGATATATTCAAACCCTTCCCCAAAGGTATTTGCGCATAAGAGAATGTAACGAACTCGATTCTCCAATTTTACATTCTGAGCCACTTAACCATTACACCACCCGCACATTAAAATCACTGCATTTTTTTTCAACGTTACTTCTCGTTTTTTTCTTTTTACTCTTTCCCCGCCAATTATTTTTTGAAAAACGTTTCCTTTTCATTAGTTTTTAATATAGTAACTAAAAAACAGACACCTTGAAGTATACCTGAGCGGTGACTAACACCTGTACCAGACGTATAAGTTGACAATGGACTCGTTTCAAGCTCCGAAGAGGATAAAAAGAATCAAGCTCAACATTTAAACACATCTGTAGTAGTAGTTGTTTTGGACGTGTTTATTCGTCTGTGTCTAAAAAAAGACACTTTCGTAAAAACGTACACACACGTCTACGCCATGGAAATTAATTTTTATTAAAAGTTACACGACCATACAATCACATTATTTTCACTATTCAAGAATGCAAATGAACAGTGTCATGGTAAACCCTTAATAAGCATACAAATTTTAAGATTGATTATTTAAAATTGATTTTGTATTTTATGGCTTATCAACACTCTGCAGGTTATTCAAAGCCATAAGATATTTTTAGATCGTTATTTTTTATTTTTTTAACTGTTTAGTGATATGTCTTACTAATTAACCCAGAGGTAGGTGAGGGAAGAGGTAGAGCCATACCTTTCACAAGAGTATTTTATTTTTCACATGTGAATTTAATGAACCCGACTGGAATTGGAACTCAGCTCCCCATCAACAATTTCAAGTTATTATCCATTACGACACCCACACATCCAAGTTTATAGCACCCAACTGATATTCCAAAGCATTCACCCATCTAGGTACTGACCAGACTCAACGTTGCTTAACTTTGGTGACCATACGGGAAAATGTGTTTCAAAGAGATGCGGCAGTAAGCCTTAGACTTGAAGAGGTCAAGGTTTTAGTGTTCAGGGAAATAATCACGCTGGAGCACATTCCATAACATGACGGTTTCTGGGTGGGGAAAAGGCTTCTATGAGCCTTCATTTAAGAATATAACTGCAGGAATTAAACATTAATAGCCATTAAGCTAGGAAAAAAAAAAAAGTTTGAATCTTGAATTTAAGACTGTGTGTCATGTCATTTCAGGACATGTGATCATGGCCCTCCACAACTTTCTATCCTTTGTAGCTCTTAGTAATATTTATCTTTACAATACATTGACATTAGCCTTTTTGGCTTCAACAAGTCCTGAAGTATCAAATTTTGTGTCCTAGATATGTCCAATTCTGAGTATAAAAATGTCTTGTTTTTAATGTACTTGATTGCAAAATATTAGAGTATAAAAGACTTTAAAATAAGGAAAACAAAATAAGTTTTTTGAGTTGCCCAATATTTAAATAAGCTTAATAAATATCATTAAAGCAAAATATTTAAAAATTAGTACCTTCAGATTTAAATAAAATTAAGTTTCAATTGGTATAGTGAAAGGGGGTACTAAAACCAACTATATTCTAAGCCACCTCTGCTAATCGGAACAGACAGATGATTCTTATCTTTATAAGAACCTAACACTACCAATTAAACCGGTCATATCTGACATGCAGGAAAAGAAAAAGCACCGTAAATACAAAGAGCAAGCAAAGTGAAATTTAAGAAAATTTTAAAACTGAAGACTACACATGTAGATGTTTACACCTACTCTGCTAGCAAATCAAAAAGATGGGTGTGGGTTAATCTTCCCATTAAATCCTTTCTCTTGAAAAGGAAAAAAAGTGTTAATCAAGTAACAATATGCACACAAACACAAAGAAAAAAAATGCAAAGATGAGGGGAATTAATTTTGGAATAGGTAAAATTTATTAGGGATATCATTACAGTAAGAAATTGACTTATTGTGTTTTTTCTTCTTCTTTAAACTTGGTTAAATTAATAATGTACAATTTAATCTGTTGTTCAGATGTGAAAAAGCTTCAGTTTTTTTTTGTTTTTTTTTTTTTTAAAGCATGTTGGTAATTTTTTTACTTCCTTACAGAACTAAATCAACCACCCAATTTATATATATATATTAAATTTAACAAGGCACAGTTGGATTTCAGACCAATAGCAAATCATTGATCCAAGCAGTATTTTAATACAGGGGCATGCCCTTTTTAATTTTTTTTTTTTTTTTAAATTAAAAAGGAATAAATAAGTAAATAAATAAATGGGACTTAAAAATTTCAAACTAATTTCTGTGATGTTACATTTACTTTAAATTCAAAATTAAATTACCTTTTATAATATTAAATTTGTATGAAAATTACATTGTCAACATGCAATCTGATCTGACCTTCAATTCCAACAAATGACCTTCACTTGTCCATAGAATGCAAATGGCAGATATGAAAGAATAGGAAGGAATTCATCTGGTCATAAATGGTATGTATATTATTTTCAGTGTTCAGTATTAGTCTTAGAGAGTTCTTTCTTCTCCCTCTGCCTGATGTTGAAAGACAGAGTGAATAAAGCAGAGAGTTGAAAAACCTGAGTTGCCAAACTAAAAACAAACACTGTCTTTCAAATGACAATACTTTGTGTTGTCTTGTCACTCTAGGCGGAAAGTGAGCATCTCAAAGTTAAAGAAAGAGAAACAGAAATGCTTACTCAAACATTCAAGATGGATATTTTTCTTCTCTTAAATTGACAATTCTTTTTGGGCTTTTTTTTTGTTTTTTTTAAATGGTACAAAGTGATTGAATTCTACTCTAAGAGATACAATAAAATAAAGCTAAGATTAAAAAAAAAAAAAAAAAAAAAAAATTAAAATAATTGTGGTTCAAGGAAAAACTAAAGAAAAAAAAAAATGTCCTTGATGTTAATTTTGTGGAATAACTCCCAGCTAGCATATTTTAATATTTTTATTTCTTTGTAAATGAAGAAGAAACACCAGATTCACTTTGTTGTTTTGATGGTAATAGATCTTCAGAATTTATGTCTCATAACATGTATAGAATCGATGAATCTTATCTTCGTAGTTTGTGTTTCATAGAGTCAGTAGCAACAATGTAAGCAAGAGGCAGCAAATATACATAAAAGGAAAAAAGTCAAAATTACTAGTTATGGTAATAACAGTATTAAGAGTGATGTGTTTTATTGCGAAAACGACAGATTGGAGAGTCTGTATATAGTAATTTTTTTTTTCTTTTATTAGTATTAAAAACAAAAATCTGTCATTAGTCAGAGGGCTATGGCAACATGTTAAGCTATAGCTGATGATCTATATGCATAATTTCTTGTTACAAGGTTCCTTATACTACAAGTTCCAGTCAGTATTGAAAGAATGAATTAGCAGTTGAGGCACATATTCACACACAAACACACAAAAAAAAAAAGGACAACAGAACAAGAGAAACCTGCATTTATTGAAGATGGAAAAATATATTTCCCCCCACTTTTTAATACCTATTTTAAAATTCACCCTAAGTATAATATACCAGCATCAAACCCCCTTCTTGAGACAACTATATATATACATAATATATACAAGAAACAAAAAAGTGTGTATATATTATGAAGTACTGTCTCATACCGCTGTTACCAAACTGTATACAGTTTAGTAAAAGTATTTTGTGCATTTGTTGGAGTATAGCAAGTGACCAGTAGTCTAAAAAGTTACCAAGTCAGCTGATCTGGTCCAAAAAGAAAACCTGAAAAGGCCTCTTTAAGGGAAGCAAGAAAAAAAATAAAAAAAATTTGGACGTTCAGCAAGAAACGCTTTAAGAAGGTTTTGTGGGTGGAAAATTTTATTTTGTTTTGTTTTCATAAAAAAAAAAAAATTCAGTTATTATTGAAAGTAACAAAAAAAAAAAAAAAAAAAAATATATTAGAGTCACAGTAGGGGGAAGAGAAGGAAAAAAATTGCTAGATCTTTTCAATTTCAACACCGCAATATTTAACTAATGCAGGTTCTGCTTATCTCTGATTTTTGCTTATTAACCTCGGCAAATCAATTCTTTCATTTTTCTTTTTTTTTTTCCAAAAATTTCATAACAGCCAAAAGTTTATGAGGATACTTATAGATTAAAATTTTCTTTTTTGTTAAAAGGCCATTTAATATAAAAAGGAAAAGAAAAAAAAAAAGGTATTACATCCAGCCAGTTTTTTTTTCTGTTTCATTTATTTTTTTTTCTTCTCTGCAGTCAGAAGCCATAATTATTCCTGCTTTGATCTTTCCCCCTATAGTGATTCGAAAAAATGAATCGGCAGAGTTATCCACCAGTAGCCCCACAAAGTTTTGGTCTAGGTTTAGAGGAAGATGAAAGAAAAAGTTCTGATCAGGGGAATTTTTTGTTGGTTGGTTGGATTGATATTTATATAGAGATATTTTTTTTTATATATATATATATATATATATATATATATATATATATATATATATATATATATTTTTTTTAATTTCTTTTTTGTTTGATATTAATTGTTGAAAGTTCGTTTCCACTCTGACAAGAAAAAAAAAATTAAAAAAAAAAAAATGAGGAAAAAAAAAGGTGTTTATTTTAAATCATCAGGTGCTGCTCAGAAAGTTGTTACACTGTACTTTGTTGTTGATCATCAAGTGACTGCAGAAAGACCTAGCGTATCTATTAAGAGTCTTATGCAAGGCCAGCAGGTTTGTCATTGCCATAGTTGTTAAGGGAAATTTAATACCCAGCCAGTTCAGCAAATGTCTGGTCCAACTCATCACTGATAGATTTGTATCTCTCCTTCTCAGCAAGCAGTTCATCTGAAAAAGCGAGAAGTGCAGGGAGTTAGTTTCACAAAAATATTGCACAACCAATTTTTGCCAAGTTTCAATACTGACCAACTTATTTGCTAAGAAGTGTCAAATTTTAGGATATTTTTTTTTTTTTTTTTATTGATGACTCCACTTAACTCTCTGTAGGTTTTGATATACTAACCAACATGATACCTAGTTGCCAATTTAACACTTTTACAGTTAGATCAATCTCTTTATTCAGGAGATTTAACACCTGTAAATCAGCATCTTCCTTTTATTAGAATGTATTATTTTATAAATTTAAAAAAAAAAAAAAAAAAAAAAAAAAAAAATACTAGATTTACAGAAACTAAATGAACTGGGGCAGGTGGTGGGAGAGAAAAAAAAGCTAGATCTAGCCCCAAACGAGCTAAATTAACAACTGATAGTAACTCTTCAAGTTCAATGAAAAATTCTTACAAGTTGGTAGACTGAATATTTCTACAGCTTCTATACAGTAAATAAAAACTTTACATTTTCTGTTAAACATTGTATGCAAAGTTTGGTAATCTATATTCAAATTAGATTTCATTTATATTCGGTTGGATATTGTAACTAATATTTACTTTTCCAAAAGTAAAAAAAAAATTCTAGAATTTAGAAAAAAAATTTCAAATGTTTTAAGTTCACGCAAATATATAAAAAAAAGATTGTTGTTGCCACACCAGGATAAAATGATCTTTAGAAAAGGGATCATATTTTATTAATAAAACAAGATACAAAAGTCTCACAGTGATTAAAATTTAGATACTTTTCGTGCTGACAATTATATTTATTTATTCTGAAATGTCCGAAAGGTACCTAAAATTTTAATCACTGTGATACTTTTGCATCCTGTTTTATTAATGAAAATAGGATCCCTTTTCTAAATATCATATTATATATATATATATATATATATATATATATATATATATATATATATATATATATATATATATATATATATATATATACCATTATAATATGTATCTCCATAATACCTCACACAAATGTAATGTTAGCCATTTTTTAATTATCAGAAACATTTCAGAGGAAAAAAAATTTATGCAGATTACTTTTTATAATTGAAAGAAATATAAATTTATTTAAAATGCATAAATATTGCCTTTCCAAAACATTTATGTAATTTAGAATATTATACAGTTTCTACAAAATATAATATATGCTACTTTTGGTTCTCTTAAGTTTTTTATTCTTTCCATTAAAAGGAATCAAGATTTGACTCTTCTGCCTTCTTATGAACCTTTAATTCTTCAAAGTTACCATTTTAACTTGTAGACTTAAGTTGCTGCAATATTAAGCTTCAATGTAACTGGCTTTTAATATTTGACAATAGAAATATAAAGTAAGGCATTAGTATATAGTTAACGGTTTCTATAGAATTACATTTCACAAGACAACATATACACCAATATTATGCATAATACATATTAGCTAAAACTGTATATCTATTCAGTGATAATACCCAATAAATTTTAAGTTTTCTCTTATTACCATAATATATTTTAAAGTAGCATTTGTTAAGATAGGTTATGGCTAACCAAAAAATGTTGACTGATAAATTAGTGGAGGATAACGTGCAGATTTTTTGCAAATAAAGTGTTGAAATAAAATTAGAGCATTATTAAAGAATAGATATACAAATCCAATTACTTATCTTCCAACTTAAAGTTTTGCAGATATACCGTTCTACTCATCCAGTTAATAAATTCAATGGATTTATGTTAACACATAAATTTATTTTAAATACATTACATAAAAGAAAATGTTAATTAACATAGCATTTATAAGGAAATGGATACTGTAAAGCTAAAACAAAAAAAATTACTAAAAATGTATAGATCTTATAAAATTTAAATAATTAGATAAAAATGTAAAATAAAAAAGAAAACTTTTGGAAATATAGAAATTTTGAATAAAAATTATTGTATTAATATAGTTTAATAAACCAAAATTTTAAAAAACTAAGAAATAAGTGCGTGCATTTTAAAAAAAAAAAAAAAGAAAAGAAAATCTGTAGCAGTGAGATTAGTAAGGATTTATTCTTAATTTAAAAGAAAAAAAGAAAAAAAAAAGTTCAAAATACTACCTCAACATTAGAAAGGGGTGTGGCTGTCAGTAGGGCATCTTACTCAATGAGTTGTTGAAACTCTATATAAGTTTGTTGCATCTCTTCTTGAAGTTGCTTATTCTTCTGTTCTGCCCTGCCCAGCTCTCCTGGAAACACGCCAAACAGGGGAAGACATGCATTTTGTGGGGTCACACAAAGCACCTCATGCAAATTACATGGCCACCTACCTTGTAGCAAGCTGACTACTACCCCAGGCCATTGTGAATCAAATCAGAGCAGTGAAAGAGAAAAAGAGATCAGTTGGGATCTAGCCCAACTTCTGATCCAAAGAAATCTTTTTATCACTTAATATTATTGATTAATTAAAAATAAAAATATTAACATTTCTGTATTTGAGTCAATCTTTAAAATAGTCATTACTTTATGACTTGACTTTTCTTCTTTTTTTTTTTCCCAATCATAAAAATATACCTTATAACTATAGTTTATATATAAACTTTAAAAATTTTTTGAAAGCTAAAATACAAACTGGAAGTCTAAGCATTTGATTTAATAGATTTTTTTTTTTTTTAGTCTTATTTTTTATGAGTTTTCAACTCTGTTTAGGTTACTTAAAACCCAAACATTTTTGGATTATAAGAATTCATTCATTTGAATTCATTCAATTTTTGGAGATAATTATTTACCTCAGATACAAGTCTTACTATTTAACTCATAGTTGGTGGATTCATACATTTCCCCAAAGGCATGTAAATCAATGTAATGAACTCAAGTGAAAGAAATTATACTGAATTGGATAGTTATTCAGTAGTACAAAACATTACACAGAGACTAATCAGATAAGTCAGAATGTAGTGATAAGACTGAATTTTACTTTGATTTCAATGGCCTAACTCTTAAGACAGGTTCTCAAAGATGTAAGATGAGAGATGAACTCATTGCAGGTTACATCAATATTTCAGATCAATGTTGCTTAATGGCCATGCAGTGTAAAAATGACTCAACTACTGCAATAAATCCAAATTAAATAGCAGCTCAGACATGAGTGGCTAGCCTTGTTTGGCAGCCAATATGGGAGAGGAAAAACTGAATTAGGTAATATAGAGAAAGTAACAACTCCATCTCTCCCAATAAGTTAAGGTAATTTAGTTAAGGAAAGGAATCTATAGAGAGCCATGATCATCTATATCTTTAAGAAATATGGCATTGAAGAGAAGTGCAATTATTAATAAATAAAAAAAACTAGTCAATAATTAATAATTAGTAATAATCTGAATGCGTCATCTAAGAATTTTAATCTTAAGAGTATTAGTTATAAATAACTTCATTTGTTGCCTTTTTCCATGGAAATATTTTGTAAGAATCCTTAGAACTGAAGAGAATATCCATTGTATTTTTCAGGAGAAAGGTAAGAATAACAGGAAGTGAATGTGTACATTATATATTATAGAATATATATATATATATATATATATATATATATATTATAGAATATATATTATATATTATAGAAGTACTATCTAGATTTGCATAGCAATCAAAGTGATTAGCAAAATAATATTAAGCAAGATAAAAAAAAATATAGCATTAAAAAAATAAAAATAAGGAAAATCAAAGCCAAAATGGTAGCAATGGACAAAATTCTGTGCAAAAATATGCTTCAAAAAGAAATATTCTTTAATTTTAAATTCTTTTATTAATTAAATGTGGTTGGTTGGTTGTTTAGCAGGGTATCAACCTAATGCCAAAATCTAATTATTTTGTATGCCTTCAACTACATATATCTTCTACATAAATGCATACTTCCAGAGTAAATGTATGTTTTACATATATAGATTCTAGGTGATTTATTGTAGGTGTTATATATGGGATTAAAGTTAAAAAATAGAAATAGATTAAGTAACCCTAGGAGACCATTTTGGTACATAGATCAGCTGTCTGTAAGTGGCCATGTGACATTTGCCCAATTGTTGATGTTAGTAAGCACCAACAAACTACTATTCAAAAAAATCTTGGCCCATGCAACACAACACAAAGCTGACGAAAATTAAGAAATAAAGTAATACCATTGGCGAAATACACAGCAAGCTTACCAATGGAGGGTGTGATTTTGGAGGGGGAACCAAAAAAAGAAATAAAGAATTCCGTAGTATGCAAAAAATTTGCCTAAGAAAACAAATACTGTTTGTTTAAAGAGATTATGAGGAATTTCAATTTCCAGTTTAGTATGGCTGGAGCTGGGAATTATTTTAGTAGTACAGTAAAAGTACTTTACAGAGGGACAGAGGCCTTAAATGATTAAGTCACAAAAAAAAGTGACATTAAGAAAACTAAACTAATTATCTTAAGTAGAGCTAATGTGTTATTATACAAGGGCCTGTGTTGTTACAATTCATTTATTTCAAATTGTCAAAAATAACAACATAACATGCCTAATGAAAACAAAAAAACAAAACAATCTAAAAGTTTAAAACCATGCTCAGTCTAAATTAGATTAATTATATAAATATAATTACATAGAAAAGATATAGGCTTTCAGCTTAGAAATTAACCAAGTGAATTTTTTTTTTTGTAAAGTGTTATACAAACAGAATTAAAATAAAAGCTTTTTGTTTTACATTTATACTGTAATCAGTTTGTAGACATTTTCAAATTTACAAGCTGAGTCAGCAATGGCTTAATAGAAAACTGAAAATATGTTCAATATAAGTAAGGGAATCAAAAGTTTGCATTGCAATAAAACTTAACAGGGATTTAGAAAAAAAAATGTATTTGTCTCTGGATAAAGCATAATTTAAAAAAAAAAAAAAAAAAAAATTGGAATTAAGGTTTTTTTGCATATTAATAATTTGCAGTGGCATCTAAAAGACATTTTTATTTATTGTATTTAGCCTCATGCTTTTTTTTCTTTTATACATACATACATTATATATATTTAAGAGTACATGTGCTTGAGTAGAAACCCCCCACTCGACTCAATCAGTGAAATTAATGTCTACTAGCCTAGAAATCAAAAGCCTTACTAATGAAATAAAGCGTGCCTCCTGACACAAACCAAATATATATTCTCTTTTTAATCTGGTGGGACCACTTTTAAGCTATTATGCTATGGGAAGTAGCATGGCTTTAAAGTTGATTCCAGGATTAAATAGAGAAGACAGGTTCTATTCCTGTCAATAGATATTTTCATTAAGATTTTTAATCCAGTAGACATTAATTTCAATGTTAAAAAAAAAAAGAAAAAAATCTACCCAAACATGTATTTAACCATAGTAATAAGAAAATTCAGATTAAAAAAAAAATTATATTATATATATATTATGAAAGCCTATTTAAAAAAAAAAAAGCATGAAAAGGCAGTACAAAAACTATAGTAAAATTCCTTATTACTTTATCTTTAAAATATTTCAAGAATTAAAAGTTCTACCTAAAGCTGATTGCTATCTTATATTATTGACTTCAAACTTAAAAGTAACCAAACTCTAAATTATTGATGGTATGTTGAAAAAAAAAAAAAAATAAAAATAAAAAATTAATTTAAAAAACTTTAGCCACACAAAATAAAAAACAAAAAAGCAACAAGCAATTCAAATGTAGTTAAAAATGCTTAGTGTACCTATTTGAGCAGGCTTGATATAGTCAAAACATTTTTATCTAACTACATTCCTAGAATCCAACCAAAGAATGTTTAGGATGGGAGTATATCAGCCACTCCATCATGATAAAATTTTAATTTTTTAGGTCTGATCATTGGCAGTTTTTGCTCAACCACATCATTGAATATCTTCATTTTTTTTTCTTTTTAAATATAGGGCTTTTGAAAAAAAAATTCTAGTTTTCAGAATTTGCTGTAGGCATAAACTGCATACCCACTGCACTACAGAAATGTCCAAGGAACATTTCTCAATCACTCAAATTATGCACATACAATCTGAGACACTACTTTCTGGTTAATAGAAGTATGAAGCTGCCTTAATTCATCAGGAAAACTGAGCTGTTTTAAAGCAAAAAAGGTCTGAAGCTAGCAAGGAATTCTTTAATTTATATGAAAAGATTGAATACCTTAAAGCAGATGTATTCATAAAGCTTTTCAAAGACAATTAGCATGAGCAGCAGAGCATAAACGGTATTTTTTATCTTTTGCTGAACAGGGATCAGTTCTTTTAAAGTGAGGGTTTCATAAGAACAGATATTTTTGGCAAGCAACCACCAAAGTAACATCTTAATATTATTGATTTTCCCACTGAAAAACCTTTATGAAATCCAACCAATTTTTTCATACAAGTAAATAAGGTTTGCAAAGATTTCTTGTTTGCCTTTCAATTCCTAACAAAACATCGCTAACAATCCAGATAAGTTGTTGGGAATATCACCATCCCTTGGGCAAGTCCAATACAACATTTTCAACATGCCTCTTTAGGATGGATCCAAAAAACTTTTGGCAGTACAAAAGTTCACTTAATTTTCTATCAGCTAATTTTACTAAATGCACAGAGCTCTGTACACAGCATGTGACCATTACTAACACATGATTGAGTTCTGTCAAGATTCATATACACATATCATTCAGAGTGAAACATCTAGTCACAAAGTAACTGGCTCCATCAGGAAGCACCCACTCTCCAGGCTTCATTAGGAGGAAGCCTCTATCGCTGGGGCATATTTCAAAGGAAAATAGTTCAGCATTATTTTAATGCACGATCAAGAGAATAGCCATTTTTTTTTTTTTTAAGCAATGGTGCAAAGAGAGCAACTTTAGCGCAAGTTATTACTTGAGTTGGACTTACTCAATCCGTACTCACCCTCTAAGTGTTCTTTTCCTTTATTTAACTGGATACACTCACGTTCAGCACATTCAGCACGATATTCCGCCTAATAAATTGATTAGAATCAAATCTATGAAACAACCAAAGCCATGCTCAATAGATTCCTTTTTTTTTTTCTTTAATTAATTATATTTTTTGTTGGAAGCATGCAGTTAGCAGTGATGTTACTACAGACTTGTTGCTGCTACTGCAACTACAGATTTTAGCTGTGGTGGAAATCAAGGACTGCCACTGCCTGCCCTCAGAATGGAATTACCAACAGCAAAAATTATGGGATTACATAAAAAAAAAAAAAAAAAAAAAAAAAAGTGAAAAATTCACACACACAAACGAAAAAACCTGAAAGTCATGTTTCAGACAATACCTTCCAATCTGTCAACCTCTTTCTGCAACTTCGATACAGTTCTCTCGGCCTCAGCGGCACGGTTCTCAGCCTAGTATTGGATAAAGACAGTAAAGCATTTGAGACAGTGGAATCCACAAAGAGAAAGAAAGAGAAAAAAAAAATCAAAGCTAAAAAGCATGAAAGAAAGATGGAAGCAAAAGTAGATAAAGAAAAATGAGCCAGCATTTTCTTATGAAAACATCAGGTAAAAGATAAAGTTATTTAAAAAAAACAAAAAACTTGCATTTTAGCAATGGCTGCATTTGAACCTGGTATACATGGGGGAAAAAAATTTCAGAATTTTGCCTTTTTTGTTACCCATCAATTTAAATCAAAATTTCAACACTCCCTACCCATTCACACCCTTTCTTTCATTTTAGTCATTCTTCAATATTCTTGGGGATAGAGAGAAAAAAATGAATGATGGTTAAATACTAAATATTGTATTCTTTTTATCTCACATGCTTTAACTAAGTTTAACACTGAAATATTAACGACAGAATAGAGTTGTTATTTATAACTGTTCTACATTGTTTTAGCCTCTTTTTGTTAGTGTTTGATATAAAAAAAAAAAAAAAAAAAAAAAAGAGTTTAAATTCAGCTTTTGAGTGGATGGGATGACTCATCCCATTATACAGGATATAACAGCTCTGTGAAATCACCAAATTATTTATACAATGAAGCCACTGAAACTGCCATTACTATTTAATTATCATTTATACTTTTAAATTATTGCTAATATATTCTTGACAAACTTTTTTTTCCAGATTATCAATATTACAAAGGATATGCAACAACATTAAGTCAATGAAACTCTAAACAGAAATTGTCATCAAAAACAGAATATTGCAAAACTTGTCTTATGAACTTCTAGAAAATTTCATTACTCAAAAGAAAAAAATATTATCCAGAAGGAATTATTGGTGTTTCATTATAAATCAATTCTTTTTCCAGACTATTATCCTCATCTTTTCTGTTTTTAATCACATTTTTTGGCTGCCATCTTATCCAGCTTTATTTTTGCCTGAATTACTCAGATTAGCTCTTCTTACTATTTGTTGTAACCTAGGGAAGGTTACTGAATAGAATAATAATGTGAAGGTTGGTAATGAACGATAATACTTAGGACAAGAACAACACATATAAGATTCACCAGTGCCGTGTAGAAGTAATAGTCAACTGCTAGAAGTGAGTCAAGTGAATTCCACAATGAATCTCCAACTGCAGGATATCTACCAAGAACCTGATGTAGTCAGATGTGGCACAAGGCCGAATTTAATGTGGGGTATCTGACCCCGTATGCTCAGCCAAAAATTCCCCATAGACCACGTATAAAAAGGAGTCAGGTAGCTGTTTCCCAAGATGAGAGACTGCTCTTCAATGTAGCCACATCTGGGGATCCTCTGTCAGAATTTGACCAGCACAGCTGGAGACAAATCTTCAGCTGCAGACCAACATACAGTATTTACTACTGTATTTATGTGAATAGGGACATGCTCATTATCATCCGTAGGTATGCTACATGCACAATTGCAATCCCTATAATGACACATGTAAACAGCACCAGTTAGGAGTGAGTAGATACTATAGGGCATTCCAATGAATGACCTTCTTGTTTGCATTCTGTATCGTTAACTTCATTTTATAGTAGATGGTGTGTATAGAAATCAAAATATTATAATAAAACAAAAAAGAATAGTAAAAATTAATGTATAATAATAACATCTCAGGAATCCATACAAGAATTGAAATTTAATTCTAAGAAGGTGAAGGAGAAACTTAAACTTAAGGCAAAATCAGAGCAAAGCCTTTAGCTGTGATGTGTATGGACACGTCTAAAATCACATGAAACTTTCTTGGAACAGATGCTTAAAAGTTGCAATTAGAGAGAGAAAAAATAGCAGGCAGATTATAAAAGAATGTCTATTGATAATTAAGCAATTATTGGAGATCATTGCAAAGAGAGCAAGGACAGAAAAGAGAACTTAAATCCACCTGTCTCAAATGACTGCACCTAACTGTGCTTTTTGCATTATTGTTACTGATCCATAATCTGGTAATATATAAGGAATTAATTAGATTACTGAAAGTAAAAAACAAAAAAAAAAAAAAAACAATAGTCTCCATTGCACAAAATCTAGAATCACACATGAGACTAAAGTTAATTGCTGAAGAAATTAAGTTAAAATGCAAGTTGGTAATGTCTAACAATGACAAAGATTGCATTTTGCAAAAAATAAATAGATGAAAATAAAATGGTTGATCAGGGTATTTCTGGAGATGACATTCTTAAGGCAATCAATCTTCATACTTGATATCAAGAGAGAGCATTAATAATTAGTAGTAAATAAAATGAAATGCTCCATTGTCCATAATCCAAATTTTTTAGAGATTAGAACTGCTTATCAGGAGACTTGATTACTGAATTTTACAATTAAGTCTCCTGATGTGTGCATATAATCTCTGTAAAACTCAGAATAGGGACAAAATAGATGAAAATCCCCTGACGATTGAATGGAACGATTGCTGGAGGGTCCATCTACAGAAATTGATGGTAACAAATTATATATATATATATATATATATATATATATATATTAGTTTTTATGAAAGTTTTGATCCTGACCAAAAATTCTCCTTAAAGAGAAAAGCCAATAACATTAAGTCTTATTTATTAAAATGCATGGAGAACTTTTCAGCACCAATTTATTGTGCATGCTCCCAAGTTTGATCATTGATTGATTAATGAGATCAACTGCTATAAAATAAAAATTAAAAAAAAAAAAATCAACTTATTTTCAGAATGAAACTCTTTCCAACTACTATTTGCTTGTAATTACCCATTCCCTTTTATTACATTGGCAAAGTAGCCTCAGGAAGCACAGATTAACTTGTTTCTATTCTATGGTAATCAACCCTTATTGGTTGATTTTAATATTGGCAAGCCACAAGGTGCTCATGTGTGGCAGTAAACATGTTAACTAGAAAGTGTGCCAAAAGTATTTCATTTTGCCTGCTTCTTGTAGAAAAAGACTATTTATGCAAGATAGTGTGTGGGGGCGGATTGAGTAAGAGAGGCAAGGAAAAGAGGATTGGTTAGTTCTTGAGGGTTTTTAGGAAAGTATTCAACACCATCTTAAAAAGGAAGGAAACCAAACCTCTTTGGAACAGAAGAGACTGTTACCAAAATAGATTTAGTCATTAATGTTTTTTTAAACCTAATATGCATACCACTTGAAGAATATGGAATTTTATTTTGTTTTTTTTTTAAATAAATAAAAATTTAATAATTTTGATTTAAGACTTTTTTGTGGCTGAGAGAGCACTCTTAGTGTTCAAGTTTAGATTAAAAAGAAAAAAAAAACCTCAAATGCTGATTCTCAAGGCAAATGGGTTTTTTTTCCTCTGATTGGGATAATCTTCCTACTCCTAATTTCTGTTTATTTCAAACTTTGTGGCATGCTAACCTCAGCTTAATAAATCTCAAAAGATTCATGTAATTTAAAAAAAAAAATTTACTGAATACTGATTTTCATGACAATCTTAGCTGAGAATTAGATCAGTTTTTCTACTCAGTAAATTATACAACTTTTTGAACTTCAACATTACTTTTAAATAAGTTTCAGTAATTCAGAACATAAAGTAAATCCAAATGTTGTTTAATCTGGTAACCATGCTCTCATAAAGCCTTTGAAATTTAACGAAATATAGATATCCACTTCATTCTAATATAAACTGCAAAATACACAAGGTTCTGTAACCTCAATTGATTACAGTTCATACAGTCAAGTGAAAAAGATTACAAAATCCAAAACAAATTTTTTAGGATTTGTACAATTAAGAGTTTCATTGAATAGAACCTGTGTACAAAATGCAAGTATTAAATTTAAAGAGATAAAGTGATAAGTCAGCTTCTTCACCAGAACTTGTGGAACTGACTCCTGTGAGGATGCTTCTCCAACTACTAAAATGACAAACTCTTCAAATCTAGGACTCAGCTGTTATCTATCCTACATATCCTCATAGCATGCACCTCTTGCCTCCTTCTTTGATGCCTTTACAATCTTTTTCAGTAACCCGCTACCTTGAGTGAACAATAGTATTAAAAAAAAAAAATCACAAAACAAGGGCTAAGATTATTAAACAACTGTTGAAACAATTTCTTGCAGGTCTTTAAGCTAAAAGAAATTGGTATTAGTTAAATTTTAGAATTTTTTTTTTTTGTAATCTTAATTCTATCACTAAAACTTCATTAAACCTCAGTTAACAATTCCAGTTCTTAGCAATTTTTATTTTTATAAAAAAAAAACAAAAAAAAAAAACAGATGGCTTAGTTATCCAGTGATAACTCCAATATATTGGTGTTTTTTTTTTTAAATCATTAGATTTGAGATTTTTTTGTAAGAAATTATCTTCACTTTCTCCACCTGCAATGCTTTTAAATCTGATCTGTTAATTTACAATACGTTTAAGTCATCAGGTTAAGGTCTCCTAATTCAAAACTTGGCAACCCAAGGCTATACAAAGATGGTTAGAAATGGTGTGAATATACCAGGTTTGTAAAACGATACAAAAATAACACATAAACATAGATTTCAGCAGCTATAGATGTTCCCACTAGAGAGCCATTATCAAGAATGCTGTTGACACCAACAGACATTGAACCCAAGGATGGTGTCATCAATCAAGTCTAATTGGTCATTTTAAAAATTGACTACAATAAGAAAAAGAGGGAAAAAAAAAAAAAAGGGGGAAAGAAAAGGGAAAGAAAGAGAGAAAAAGAAACTCACCTCCTTTAGCCTATGTGTCAGATCCCGAATAGTCTCTTCATAGCTGTCCTCTCTCTGGGAGGCCTGAAAACCGAATAAGGAAGTTTAAGCTGAGGTCAACACATTCAGAAATGAGAAAGAAATAGGCATTAGAAAAGAAACACAGATCCACAGACTGAATAATGATGTCCCAAAAATTTTTTTTTGTAGTGGGGGGGGTAGGGAGAATTTTCTAGGAAGCAATGATAAAACTGATAATGAATTTGAAATAGAGTAAATAGTGATTTCTGAAGTGAATTTAAAGTCAAAGCTACAACTTCAAAACTTTTC